GAGAGAGGGAGGAAGGGAGGGAGGAAGAGAGACAGAAAAGAGGAAAGAGAGAGAGAGAGGAGTGACAGGAGACAGAGAAAAGAGAGGAGAGAGAGGAGAGGAGTGAGAGGAGAGGAGAGGAGTGAGAGGAGACAGAGAAAAGAGAGGAGAGAGAGAGAAGAGGAGTGAGAGGAGAAAAGAGGAAAGAGGAAGGGAGGAAGAGAGAAAGAGAGAGAAAAGAGGAAAGAGGGAGAGAGAGAGGAGAGGAGACAGAGAAAGAGGAGAGAGAGGAGAGAGAAAGGGAGGAAGGGAGGGAGGAAGAGAGAGAGAGACAGAGAAGAGAGGAAAGAGGAAGAGAGAGAGAGGAGAGGAGTGAGAGGAGACAGAGAGAGAAAAGGGAGAGAGAGAGGAGAGAGGAAGGGAGGGAGGAAGAGAGAGAGAGAGAGAGAAGAGGAGAGAGAGGGGAAAGAGAGAGGAAAGAGACAGAGAGAAAGGAGACAAGATTGAGAGAGGAGAGAGACAGAGACAGAGAGGAGACAGAAAGACTGAGAGGGGGCAGAGAGAGTCAGTCCAGGGTGGAGATTAGGGATGTGGTGATGTAGATTTGGAAGTCCTTGGTGTAGAGATGTTTTTAACCAATGAGAGCTGATGGGGTTGCCAAGGGAGAAACGTAGACAGAAGAGGAGACAACCAGGCAGCACCTTGGAGAACACCCACAGTTAGAGGGCGAGATGGGAAGGAGGAGCCCGCAAAGGAGATGAAGGAACAGTCAGACAAGGTGGGGGGAGGAGGGGGGAGGCTTGGGCTGGGGCCTGTTATGGGCCAATCAGTGAGAGCCAGAGTGATGTGGCTTTAAAGCCATGGTCCAGTTGCTCCATCTGAAACCCAATGGGCTTTATCAAAGCCTGGTTTTCCAGAAATATTTCAAGAAATCGTAAATGAAAACTATATGAGACAAAAAGTTAATTGTCCCAGTTTTGGTTTTTTGGGGGTTTTTTCGCTAGGCAATGGTATTAAGTGACTTTGCCCAGGGTCACACAGCTAGTAAATATCGAATGTCTGAGATCTGTTTTGAACTCAGGTCCTCCTGACTTCATGGCCAGTGTTCTATCTACTGCACCACCTAGCTGCCCCAATTGTCACACTTTTTTTTTTTCAAAAAATGATAGAATAAATAAGTAGGGAAGAAAAAAATCTAGCTCCCAAACCCCAAGATACTTCATGAAGTATAAGCAATCAAAATTTATATTCCTTTGGACAGAGGGCTCACATGTAAGGGTGTGACTCCCCACAGGACAGAGGAAGGATGGGGAGGAGGAGGGAAAAATAGCAGCACTGACCAACTAGAACTGGCCTGTTAGGTCCTCCAGGTGCAGCTACTACTGCTCACAAATTGTTGTTCATCCTTCATTTTTTTTTTTTTTTAAGGCAATTAGGGTTAAGTGACTTGCCCAGGGTCTAGCTAGTGTCAAGTCCTTGGTTGGAGACCGAATTTGAACTCAGGTCCTCCTGATTTCAGGGCCGGTGCTCTATCCACTGCGCCCCCTAGCTGCCCCTTCATCCTTCATTCTTTTTTTTTTTCTGGAGGCAATCGGGGTTAAGTGAGTTGCCCAGCATCATATAGCTAGTAAGTGTCTGAGGCTGGATTTGAACTAAGGACCTCCTGACTCCAGGGCCTTTGCTCTATGCATACAGGTTGGATTGTAAAGGAGAGAAACTAGATGTAGAGAGAATAATCAGGAGGTTATAGCAATAGTACAAGTGAGAAGTGAGGAGAGCTTAGACTCTTTGAATATTGTCATTTCACCTGTTCTGAATCCACGTATATAGTCATCTATAGTGAAAATGTAGATGATAATTGTATAATTATGTCATCCCAGGGATTCTTAACCTGCAGCCC